ACTTTTCTAGATGAGCATTTGAGTGCCCAAAATGTATGCCCGACTTCTTTTGCCGAAGATACTCGTAATGCAGTCAGGAAACGGGAACCGGGAAACGGGAATCAGGAATCAGGAATCAGGACACAGAAGTCAGGAGTCGACGGATAATGAAATTAAAGGCAGCAGCTGCTGCTAATTAACTCCGCCAGTTAAGCCGTGGGGCAGCGCGCCAGTTTATAAATTCAAGTTAAAAAAGTAATAAAGCATTTCTGCTGATTGAAAAACACTCTGAGGCTACGGCTCAGCCTTCATCGCATATTTATAGACTCTGGCCTCCACACACTAGTAGATTTCACGTGCTTTTTATACAATAAATATTTAAATGCCAACTTGGCGTAAGCGAAGCTAAACTTAAGTAGGACCGCACATCTGGCATGAATAAATAGAATGCCTGCCCCTTTTTGCCAAAGTAAGTCGAAAAGGTGAGATCCCTCAGAGAGCAGAAAGGGCGCAAGGGAGCTTAACGTTTGAGGTCTTCCGAGCGAGAAAAACCCCTTTAAATGGAGCGTAAATTGAAATTTTGGTGCCGCTCTGGACCTGCAACCTGCCACTGCGATTCCCAGCCTGCATTGGATTCTGCAGGCAAAATGCAATTAAAGTGCGGCGAGCGAATTTTGCGACGATTCCCGTGTAACAGTTCGGGTTTGAGTTCAAGGCATCCCGACCAGGGCTTGTGTGCCGGCTGAGCTCTTGTACCACTTTTATTTAACTAGGCTAAGCGGCTTTGCCAGACAAACTTTTCCATACCAAAATCCGCTCGACTTTTGGATAAGTCTAGAGCGCCCGCTCCCCCGCTCGCCCGCGCGCCTTCTTTTATCACCCCGTGACCATGTCCTCGTACTGGTATGTATGTCTGGATGTTTGTGCGAATCGTTACTTAATATGGCCAAGACACTCTTTAAGTTTGAAACAGTCGCCTGTCAGCTCCATACTTTGGTTTGCTTTGGAGACTTTATACGAGTGTGTGCCAAAACCTTTTGATCCCCTATGCTGTGCCTCCCCCCCATTGGCAGGAAATCATTTATGATTTCTCCCAATGAAAATGCAAAGTTATGCATAAAATTAATACTAATCTACCTGTAATGTTGTCAGTATCTTTAGCTTTCATGCATTTTCCTCAGTTGTCGATTGGGCTTCTGCCTGGGATTTTTCCACTTGCAGCACTTGCCAAACGATTAGCGTAGGTTGCCAGACATGTCGAATCTTTTACTTTCTAAATGATTTAATGTACATTTAATTACAATTTATTGATAAGCACATATGTATGTATGCCGAATCGGTTGAACTCTGGTGGATCGGTTGATAATCACATATTTGTTTAAAAATATTTAATCTTCATTTATTCACCATAATCAAAAGGGAATGTTTATCGGCCCCACAACGAATCCTAAACAAATGAAAAACTCATTTCTGTGTGGGACCAACAACCGAAGCCAGCCACAAAGACTAGCCGCATAATTTGCTAATGTGCCTATGCATGTGCCACACAAAGCCGGGCTCCAGCGGGGAAGCCCAACTGCGTCAAATCTTTTGTACGTTTTCCCGTGTAATTTATTTGACAGTTTGACAATTTGAAAAAAAAAAAAACACCACGCTAAACAGCAGAAGAACGACCTGGAAAAGCGTGTGCAAACGGCCGCGGGCATACAAAGGTTCCGGCTCGACGATGACGTCGCAACAGTGGCAGCGTCAGGCGGCAGGCGGCAGGCGGAAGGCGGAAGGCGGGGCTCGCCTCTCGGACCACTGCAAGGCGCTAATGTTGAATTAAACGAGCTCTGACAGCGGCATAAACAAGAGGCGAGCCGCGCCAGGGGCCGCCCAGCTTCCCCCCGAAGGCCGGCAGGCAGTTCCACCCAGGATTCCGCACAGGACCTGGATTTATATGCCACACATTTACATTTACGTACGAGGATGTGGATGTGGATGTGGATGTGCCCATGCATATTTATGATAAATTGTCGCTGGTGGCAACGTGTCGCTGACATTTTGGTGCCTAAAAAAGTACACACACCGAGAACAGTCCCAATGAAAGAAAAACTCCGCCGAAGTCAAAGTCAGCATGAATGTTTTTCGCGAAATTTTAATAACTTGGCGACTGGCATTATTATTGAATTGGTGAAAATCGAAAATGACTTTGTAATACGAAAAAAGAAGCGAAAAATAAGTGAAATACGAGAAATACGAGCATTCGAAACGACTTTTTATAAAGCTGAAAAGCCATTTAATGTCGCGCCGCAAAAATAAGCCAGCAGTGGGGCTTATTGGAAAATTCTTAAAAGGAAACAAAGAGAAGGCAAAAATACAGAACTCCAATGAGAGAAAGACCATGCCCAGTCGCCGCGTCTCTAAGCTTTATTGTCTCTGTCTCCGTCTCTGTCTCCGTCTCTGTCTCTGACTCTGTCTCTGCCTCTGCATCTGCCATTTGCACACGTTTAAATCTCTGGTCGCACTTAACCTGTTAGCTGTCTCTCTCCCTCTCCCACTCTCTCCTTCTCCGTCTCTCAGTGTGCGTGTGCATAAGTGTTCAAATGTAGTCGTAAAAGCGCTTTTACGTAATGCGACGATGTCGCTGAGGCCGAGATGATGATGGTCCCAAATGAATACCGTACGTGTGTTTCAGCCTTGAAGGGAAATCTACCAGCCGCATCTATTTCGTCCCTGCGCAGATGCTGGGAAACAGTTAAAGTTAAAACCACTTGCGTACAGAGTCTGAGGGATTAGACGAGGGGCACAAATACTCAAAATTGTAAAGTATGGGCTCCGTGGAAACTTTCTTACGGGTATGTGCTTTTCAAGAGCTCTTCACCCGATTTTCTTCAGGCATGTTCTGGGAACCAGTTTCGCTGAAGTCGTTTTATCGAAATATGTACTGAGACTGGTACTGGATAAACCCAAATTAGGGGTATTATCTTAGGCATTTTTATTCGAGTGACAGTTCTAGTTTGGAAGTTTGATATTTATCCAATATACATTTCTTTTAAATATGGAAAGTGTAACTACGACATGCTCACACGCACATTTTCCTTATCTTGTTGAAAAAACCTTCGAGGAAGTGTGCCGGTGGCAGGCAACGATTTGTTTTCACTTTCGACCAAGTGCACATGAGTATGTGTACGAATCAAAAGCAGAGGTCTTAGGGAACTGTCAGTGAAGGAACTAAAGAGAATTCCTCAGTATTAGATTAAGTTTACGGCTCGATTTTTTGTAGGGTATCCCTAAGGTAGGTCTATTCCACCAAATCACAATGTCAAAGTGTGCATATACTGAAATTTCATTCAATATCATTTTGATTATGCTCGCATTCTGTATAGTTCAATGAAACATTGAAAATCCATTAAAAAGAACCATGTCCGATCACCAAATGGTTTCTGCCTATACATTTTTAATAAATCGCGGTCCATCATCGGTTTTTTTTTATGTTTTGTTTTAGCATAGGCGCGTATATTGAATATTTACTAATAGTTTTTATTTGAGGCGTAGTTGTTGGCCTCCTCTATTCTGTACAAGGAAGTAATACCAATGTATGAGCCACTAAAAGTATTCCCGTTTCCTTTCAGCTGCCAACTGGTACTCCCATTCAGCTGCCTGTTTGAACGGGCTGAGCAAATTAATTATACACATACGTTTGGTTAAGTTTGTTTGACTAATAAAAGGTATATTTGATTGCAGTCTTATCTGAGCAGCCGCTCCAGGTCAGGCTCCAGTTAAATGCCATGTCCTTTGGTTTGTTTAAAGGCCTGAAACAGGATGAGCGGCTGAGGAAGTCAGTGACATGCAGCAGCATTACATACTAGACAAATATACATATTACCTAGTTTACTTGAGCAAATACAGGCTGGACTGGGGCCCACATTACTAGCAAACCGCACACACACAGCATTTTAATTAAAGACATTTCCATGTCCTCTATATGGTCATCTGCTTGTGCGAATTTCTTGAGAACTACATACATCCATAGGTGTTTGAAGGTTTTTAGGTCGCTGAAAAGCACTCAAATTTGTGGAAGAACGGCTTTCACCTGAGTAGATCTTTTTGTAACCCGAAAGAGGGTAATTGGTCAGTATTGGCCAAATTGGTTCGTATCGCTCAGAAGGCCACAGACTCAGCCGAACCATCCCTTTGTCTGGATGGTCTATTCTATTGTAGATACGCTTTCGGACCATTCGCTGCATCTTTCAGTCTTTATTCCTGTATACCGTTGAAAGAGTTTCCCAAAATAAATTTCATCGGATTATCTGCTTCTATCTGGCCTTGCCCTCTTATTTGTTTGTCGCACTGTCAATTACTTTCACCGTTTGTGTCAATACGACGGGCTGCAAGTGCTTTTCAATTAAGAGAGACGCATTGCGGGCTGGCAAAACAAAAATGCACATCGCATTCGCTGGCTTTCGTCACTCCTGACGGGGCACGGCGCAACGCTTGGGCGGTCGGCACTCAGGAGCCCAAGACCCGGCGCCCACATGTCGTGGGCTTCGTTGGAGACAGTGGCATCCTGCTGGACCTGGGAGCCCAGCCCCCTCGCCGCGCTTATGCAAATGGGTTTTGAGTCAAGAGCGAAGGTCACTGCGTCCTTTGCGGTTCTTAAATGCACGTCGTGCTGGTCGCGCCTCGCGCCTTTCCCACTGCGGGCTCTGTGTCCCCACCCAGAACTCATTAATGACAGTGTTTCCTTTTAAGCCGGCAAGGAAGGAGAGGACCCTGCGTTTTCTTAGTTTTTTTGTATCCTGAAATTTAACGGCATTACATCCCCAAGCTAGTTTCAATTTCCTTTTCAGGGTAGAGGGAGGATTAAATGCTGGGTAAAGGCGCTTAAGCGCAACTCGAGACTTTTTAATAATTTACGCCGAGGAAGCACGAATCTGAGAACCCTTGGAGTGGCGACCCTGCCGCCGCCACATGGAGGGCTAGGCGTGCAAATAGAGATAGAGAGAAATAAAAATAAATATTAGCCGAAGGGAAAGTGTTTCTCATCAGAATTTATGTAAATCTCTCAGATGTTCAAGAACCAACGGTACCGGTCAAAAAGAGGAAAGAGTAGCACAGCAGGCATAGATCTCGGTAAGACCTGACGACTTTCACATCTCAATCCGAGGGAAAACATTTACAGGACATAGGCGGAGGTTTTGGTTTTGGTGTGGCGGTAGTTTCCCATCTGCTCCTTTGTTTCCGGAGCTCTGGACAGGTACCTATCCAGCGACCACTTGCCGGCACCCAGCTGCGAGAGAAGCAGGAATCCACCAATTTTACAGAACAGTAGGCTCAAATGCTCCAACGACAGGAGCGCATCATTCCAGCCCCACAGGAACCAAAAGTGTGGGCTCAGCACGTCATGATAGAGTATGACTAGGGCAGTCAGGTATGCGGCAGCTCTGCACTTGATCCCCAAGACCAAGGCACTTAGGAGAGCGAGAGAGAGGGAGCTTGAGATGGGCTGAAACGGAATGTCACGTATAGTGCTATTGTCGGAACCTCGATTGAAGCCGAACTTACATTAATTATCTCCTCCAGCCAGGATATATAGATACTGGATAGGCCAATTCTTGCCGCCAACAACAGGAAGTCGCACTTCTTGAGAGCCAACCTTGGCCATTCCTTCCTGTCTCGGAGATAGACTCTAGTGGCCAGAAGAACTAGTAGAGAGCCCACATCGAGGCAGTCGTTGAGGAGAGAGTGATACACATGAATCCACATAGTGAAGAGCAGTCGGTGAATCACTCTCCCTATCAGCAGCATTATTACACCAGTCTCTTCTTTGCCCCGCACCAGGATCTGTGCAACGGCCGCAGAGGTCAGTAGAGCATCAAAAGCCGTATAGATGTAGCCAAACACATCCGCGACATCCAGAACCACAGCCTTTTCGACGCTCACAAGTCGGTAATTCATTAGCGTGGCCAACGCGCCCATGCAGTGGTATGACATAATTAAATATGGCACTAGCCCCAATACCCATGATTGGATCTTGTAGTGCAGCGCCTTGACCGCCAGAATTCCTTCGCAGGCAATTCGAAACATAATATTTTAGACGTGCGACGAAGGAAGTTTGAATTTGAAATACACAATAAATTGTAGTAGAGCAGGGATCGTTATAACGTATAAGTCCCGGCAAGCTCACACAAGCCCTATGTGTCACCTTTCTAATGCTCTCCTTATAATCCCATTTGGGTGTACACCTCCAATCGTTCCCCATTTAATCAGTGCAGTACCGCACCTTGAGCAGCCTCAGGGCATTATAATATGCCTAATTGTAGGGGGCCTGGCCAACAGGAGGCCAACAGCTTAGTGATGTGTTGAGCCGCGGTCAGGCAAATCAATCGTTCGACCAATTATCTCAAATTTTGCAGACGCCCAGGGCGGCCCGCAGCTCTCACATTAACGATTGCGCCTGAATCCAAGCAGGCGAGGGTTCAGCTCCAATCTGGCTACAGGACTTCAAAATTTCTCGCTTCTACAAAATTTATGTACTGGATATTTCCACTCCTGGTAATTTAATGCACCGCCTGGTGGTGGTGTCGGGCTCATCGCACTGCGACTTTGCAGATGTGGTGGCCGAGAGCTTGGGGCTCAGCCTGCATCCAGTGCTGCGCGCGAAGTTCCCCAATGGAGAGATACGGTTCGAGCTGCTCGAGTCGGTGCGGGGAGCGGATGTCTACATAGTTCAGACCAGCTGCGAGCCGGTCAACGACATGCTGATGGAGCTTCTGGTTATGGTGCAGGCCTGTCGCTATGCCTCGGCCAACACGATTACGGCGGTGATGCCACTATTTCCATACTCGCGGCAGGACAAAATGGACTCGTGGAAGCAGCCCATAACGGCCAAGCTAGTAGCCAACATGCTCTCTGTGGCCGGGGTCAATCGGGTCCTGACCATGCAACTGCACAACGCCCAGCTGCAGGGATTTTTTGACATACCCTGCGACAACCTGCAATCCGATATTGCCATCGAATCGTGGATTAAACGCTTTATCCCCGACTACGCGGAGCTGGTGATTGTCGGCGCAGACAAAGGAGCGGTGAAAACGGCCACCCACATCAGCCACAAGTTGGGCACTCACGTGGCACTGTTCCACAAGCAGAGGCGGGTGGCCAGCGAGGTGCACGACATGATACTGGTTGGGAGCGTTCGGGGCAAGGTCGTTGTGGTTGTGGACGATCTAGCGGACACCAGTAACACCCTATGCCTAGCCGCTGAGCGCTTGAACGAGGCCGGAGCGGCGAGAATCTACGCAGTCGTCACTCACGGCGTATTTTCGGGCCAGGCCCAGCAGAAGCTCAGTGAATCGCTGTTCGAGCTGGTCGTCTGCACGAATACCGTTCCCCAGCCCGCAGAAGTGGCCAAGAATCCAAGGTTCCACATCATTGATGTCTCCAATATCTTTGCTAAGTGCATTTGGAACATGCACGACAGTACTAGTGTTGAGAATGCCTTTCTATCGGAATCCAGCCTGCTGAACTGGCGTTTGTCACATAAGAAAGACGCCGATAGTGTCTCTAAGAGCTTCACGGAAGATGAGGGTGATAGGCTTTCGCAAAACGAGGGTTGCACCAATCAAAAGTCCACTCAAACCATAAAGAAAGATGTAAAGGGGCAGGAGAATTGATTTTGATTCAAATAAAGGTGCAGTACGTGCGTTTTTTCAGGTTATAGTCAATATCATAGTGTTTATTTCCCACACCACCCTCCTCCCGCCCTGCCTGTGTGGCAAACTGACCCTTCAACAGTTTATAGTATAAACAGGTCCTTGCCTCTTGAGGCATCTACCATTGTAAACAGTTCAATGCCTCGATAATCTCGCAAAGACTTCAGGATTGAGGACCAAACACCATTCATAAAGTGTTCAAATTTACTTTGCCACTTGATGGACTTCTCAACTTGACATCAATGGAGTCGGGTTCCTGCAAACGACTTGGTATCCGTATTAATGCCAGTGACTGTCAGCTTCTTCTGCTTCTTCTGACATTTTGCAATTTATCTGCTTACACAGCAGAAATTAATGCCACAAGTGGAAAACATTAAAGCCTGTAAAAAGCTTGAGGTAAAATGCAAACAAAAGGGAGAACATCACGAAAGGAAAATAGAAAACAGAGGAGGGAAAATGGGCCAATGCTGTTGACATCCAAGCGGATTTTTCCATGCCTTTTGATGTCCCTAAAAAAAATACACAAACAGAGCCCAGTGGCGTGAATAGCTAAATAAAAAGAGCTCTGAGACTATATGTATGTAGACTATTATACGAGTAGGAGAGTCCACATACTCGTAGTCAATAGATTGGAACGTCCAATGAGAAGTAATCAAGGAATAGACGATTCTCCATGTGCAAAATGATCCAAGCCTCAAATTCGGGTATGGACTTTGACAACTGGAGTATACTGAAACTATATCCTCGAGTCTTAACTGTATCGAATCGGCGAGGCGCCATTAACAGTAATGACTACAGAGAGGTCACGCCTCTCGGGACCTTTACAAGGAATGAACTACAGGACAAAACAGTGGCCAGGCCGCGCCTATTAGCTTTTTATTTTCCTCTTATAAGAAGACCAGTTTTCAAAGCCATTTAAAAGAGGCGAGACGAGACACACGGTGGAGCGGGCGGTTCTCCACCCTTTACTGCTGACAAGGAATTGGTATAGAAAATCTTCCATCGAATTCTGTATATAATAGATAAATTCTCGTTAAACAAACAATCTTGTTCCTTTACAGAGTTGTACTTGTGTTTTGCACGACAATCAAATCAGCGGCAAGCCCTTGGGGCATGAGAGAACTGAAGGAGAAGAGATTCCGACAAGGGCGAGGAGCAGACACGATTCGTTGACTTTGTTACAAATAATTTAAATCTATGTCAACAATTGGAACGCAACGCCATAATAATTCATTTGTTCCTTTCGTCACAGCTTCGTGACGGCTAATCAGCAGGACACCAGGGCGCTTGACGGCGCGGCAAAGAGGCAGACAGACAGTGGGGCAGAGGAGCAGACAGACAATGGCCCAAAATGGCCATTTTGTAGGATGGCATGGCGTCATGGCTGCCCGACTCCCGACTTCCGCTGGAAATGAGTTTTGTTCTGATTTAGCTGGTCTTCCCTTTTGTGGTTGAATTAAACATAATCATTTCGGTTCCCTCTTATGAGTATTCAATTTTGCGGTCCTTATCGCATTGAACATTAAGTTTAATTTGATTTGATGTCACGCTTTTTGCTGTGTGCACATGCGCGACGCCATCGCAATTGTTTTGCCTTTTTTCGTCGCGATAAAATCGCTGTAATTTTATTAGTTTTCGTTTTTATTAACAATAATTTCTGATGCTGTTCGGACTTCGGCCTTCCCTGCCTTGCCTGCCTTCTGTGCAATTATTGAGTTTATTTTTCACACACACACAAGCATGTACATATGTATGTATGTATATTTGCTATTTGCATAGCCATAAAGTAGATTTATTGTTGTCGCTTGATTGGAGGCTCGGATACTGGACATTATCATTATGGGGGCCATTGATATGCGTGCGATTATGAATTCAATTAATATGACACATTTTGTGGAAATTATAGGTTTTTTTGTTAAAGTTTTGAATAATAAAACTCTATTTTCGGTGTTTACTAATCTGGATGCTGGATTAATTGGGTTTTAAGTGTACTTTAATAAGTCGATAAATAAATTATACACACAGGTTACAATTTATAATGTTTGTGGGGCAAATCAGTCCGCCACAAAGCGAAGGTCATTGCTCCACACGAATTCTGGCTCTCTTCATTTCTGGCCAAAATTCAAAGGTCAGCACCAGCTTCCTGGTCTGAGTGCTATCTTCGAGGCTTCGACGCCGATGCACTTTGAATGGGAGAATAAAACTTGTCACACTTCTCAAAAGAAGAAAGCACTTTCCTCTAAGCCTGAAGAACAACAACTTCCTGAGGATGTACCGACTGGCTGGGCATGTGTGTGGTGGGATTTGGTAGGAAGCCACAGAGAGCAACAGAGTCTGTAGCGATAACAGAGCAAGTAGAGCAACAGAGTCTGTAGCGATAACAGAGCAAGTAACAGAGAGAGAGACTAGAAGCGGCCGTCGAGCAAAGAGAAGAGAGAACACAGCCTCAACGATCGACGCCATTTGATTCGGTGCCAAAGTCTCACTCAGCCACACGCAAATCACGAGCGCAATTATTTGTATTAATCTAATCATAATGTAATGTAATCATAACTAATCTTAGAGAATATTCATAAATAAAGACTAATTATAGTAAAACCTGGCGTCCTGGACTAAAGTATAACTACGGAAAACCCGGGGCCACCTGTGCATACTCGAACTTTGATTCTTGCCATGCGCTTGTCTAAACTTATTCACTGTCCGCCGTTACTCTTAGCCTGGTTTAGTCAGAAATAAATTAAATCTGTACCGGGGCGTCTGAACTTTGCTTCGGGAGATATTAATCCATGGCAAAACAAAGCCCCGAATCGGTGACGTGACTCCTTGCAAATGGAAATGGAAATTCATGGATGGGAAAAATCCTGCACAGTTTTTGTTGTCAATTTGCTTGTGAAACCTGCGCAGATGTCAAAAGAATAATGAGACAGGAATTGGGTTTAAAATGCGAAAATTCAAGAGAGCTTAGCTCATACCAACGCAGAAAATCAGAAAAATCAGCTTAAGGCGTGCATGACATTTGAATATATAAACATAATTTGTTCTTTCATTTTACGGGAGGGCAATGACTGGAAAAAACAGGCGGATAATAGGCAAGCCCATAAGAGGGGAGCACAACCGAAAGCGTTTCTGATTGTGGCTGTTCCCAGTCCATGGGTATCCAGATTTTGGGGATCCCCAGTCCCAATTGGGATTAAGTGAAAATATCCAAAGAAAAAAGCTAAAGATAGCTTAATTTCTTACACACCCACCCATCATGGTGTACAATTATCGATTATTGCATAAATGGAACTATATGGAACACTAAGGAACTCTTTTATATAATGTAGCATCAATACATTTTCCGACAATTGCAATTAGATGTTGCACTCACAATGAAGAGCATAAGTCGCAGGACGCCTATCTTCTATTTGGAGAACTGTGCGACCTTTGAGCATAAGTATGTACGTTCCAAAAATCGGATTAAGGATATATGTATCCGACCCCGCAAGTACCCAGCCCTAGCAGAATAGCGTACGGAATCCCCACCGTATACACTTGATGCCCGTACATTTCATTTTCGTGTATTTTTGGTCAAGGCAATGGCAGTCGTGTTCTCCAACCAAAACAATAAGAGAGACAATTTGAGAATGTCGTGACTGATATGAATATTCATGAACAGTTCGCGACGAATTTAATAATTAAATTGTTGGAATATAAATTCGTCCCCTGGGCAGCAGCGGGTCGTCTGGTTCCAGACTGCACTAAACCGAAAACTATTCAGCCGGTAGGAGTCTCCTGGAGAGGCACATGGGGACTGTCCGTGTCCATGACTAAATTAACAAATCAATTATTTAGCCCGAACGCTTTTGCAGGCCCTGTTTGGATTAGAGCGATGCGAATTAGGTGCGAATGTCCAGGCGGGTAATGCCTTAAATGCGAAACTGTGTAATTTGGTTAAAAGCCTTTGCTTATCACCCACTGGGTACAGTGCTTTTGGGTTCGAATTTGGTGCATTTCAGCAGGGCTGTACATTGCCAAATATAGCTTTTTATACCAGGTACCTAAGTATATGAGTTAGGTGTGTAGGTATGTACATATGAAGGAAGGAAACGTTTCCCACTTGTTCTTCTCGAGCTTCTTCTCGATCTCAGAGACTAAGAGTAAGAGACCAAGTCACAGTTTAGATGCTGATTGTGATTTTATTGGTTGCTGTTTGTGTATTGAATTCGGTTTAATAACCGGAGAATGCAGTTCCTCCTAGGGCCATGGTGAAGCCCAGAATGAAGACAAACATGAGTATGGTGGGTACCAGGCCTCCCAATAGCTGGGGGATGAGAGTCAGTTCGTTGCTTGGGGTCACGACCTTCAACTACTGTCTAGCAGATACTTACAAACTGAAAGGGCCTGACATTTCCCCAGCCGGCAATAATCGTGTTGGATGGTGTACTGGTTGGTAGCATGAACTGATTGTGCAATGCAGTCGCAAATGGCACGGCCACGTTCTTACCCTAGAAGAAAGAGGTGTATTGAAACAGTCCTGATCGACCGTAGTCCACTTACGGCTCCAAACATAATGGGGACACCGAGCTTAGCCAAGGTGGTGGCTGGTGCTAGGATAGTCATCAGGGCTCCCAATGCGGAGCCATACATCAAGGCGGTTCCCTTGCTCATTTTACTCTTCTTCGCCGAGTCCGCCAACCAATCAAAGAAACCGGCCTTCTGGCCGCTAAACACGCAGCTGAACCCGGCAGCCAGCATGAAGATGTGTCCCCAAGGTGTATTGGAATTCACCGCCTTCCAGCCCAGTAGCGACGGCACACTGCCCTCCTTCTTGGGCTGGCGACACATGTAGTATTTGCAGAACATGTAGTTGGCGGGAATGCCAAAGAATAGAATACTCATTCCAATGATTGTGACGGAGGGACCATTAGTCGTTTTCTTGCTTATGGTGTCCCAGCCATCCATGAAGCCAGGCTTTCGCGTCATCATTAGCAGAAATGTAACAAGAATCAGGATGAGGGACAATTTGGTGTGGATTGTCCAGGGACCCATTTTCTCCCCCTTATCGGCCACGGCCTGTTTGAATCCGTCCCTATTGCCAGCACCCTCGGCCAGCTCCTGCTTCACTTTGCCCCCCGCTAGTCCGAGGAACATACAACTGATCCAAAGACTCAATACGATCATGCTAAGAATCATCGGAGCAATTAACAGCACCAGGAAGCTTCCAGCGCCGACCTTTCCCTTCAAATTCCTGGGGGAACAGGTATAATTATACATAATTTTGGTTATATTTTGCATTCAAAGGGGAAAGACTCAAATTTGGCAATAACTACGGAATAACTAACGGAACGAGAAGACTGACAGACAGACATCGCAATGTCGAACCGGCCATTGATGCTGGCTAAGAATAAAAATACTTTACGGGGTGGGAAGCGCCTCCTTCTGTGCTCCTTGAGTACCGGATATAAAAATACTCTACTTACTTATTAAAAATGCCGATCAGAGCTTCATTGGGATCCTGTAGTGGCGAAATCATGCCCCCCAGGGTGGAAGCATAGCACACGGTTAAATAAATGCCCACTGCAGGACGCGACGGATAGGGTTTACTGTGAAACGGAGAGAAGTATTATTTTGTTGTATCTAAAGTATGGCACACTACTTTAGACTTACGATCCACGCTCGTAGGGCTCTTCGTCGGAGTACATTTTAACAACACCAGCCTGAAAAAAAGGATCGCTTGAGCCTTAATTTAATACTGGGATCAGACACTCACCTCGTTGAATTCAGTCATCACAGCTAGAGCCACCTTCATCCAAAAGGCCGCAATGAGTGTGGAGTTAACCAGAACGGATGACAGCGCAGTGACAAGGACCAGAAATATCTGAAAACTATGCGGAGAAAGACCTAGTAAGTATGATCGTTTTGTATGGATTTTCTTACACTCTGATGTTGGAACCACAAATTTTGATAACTATTACTGCGAGACGTTCACTGAGCTTCGAAGAGTCCATCATGACGCCCATAATGACGCTGCCATATGTCAGAAATATTAGGTCTGTATAATACGAATTGCTGACGGGGCCAGAGCCCGCGATGCCCAAGACAGGAATGAATGTAATGTAGAGAAAAGCAGTTGCGCCTTGAGCCATAACGTTGAGGATGTAGTACAGATACAGGCATATTGTAATGTATATAAACCGAGATACCTATCGGGAATTCAGTTCAATTCGAGGACCTGCTAAATAGACAGGCCTGTACGTACCAATACATTCTCTGCCAGCAGAATCGGGGCAAACACGAGGGGAATGACCACGATGAGAACGCCTTTGTAGTGAAACTTGCAAAACTGTTTTCGATCATCTTGCTCTTTGTATGGCAAGTCGCCAGGCTTGTACTCGGCGGCCTCACTTACATATTTGTAAATATTTGTTGTTTTGTTATTTTTTGTACACTATTATTATTCCCTTAATTATTTACTTACGCCATTTTTGAAAGTATTTAAGACTTTTTATTTCCCGAAATAATTTGTGGAACGATTTCTAATGATTTGTTAAGAAATACGGAATATCTAACAGAATGATTTAAACAGGGCTGCTAAGACGAACAAAATTCGATGTGGCAAAAACTACTGGAAGGCAACGTATGAGTGTCCAGGTTTTAGGTCATAAAATAAATCCCAGGGGCCCCAATCTGAACAGCATGCTGCGATGGTACCAGTTCATAGCCCAATCAATGGATTTTAGACACTTCTTTGGAGGGGTCGTAGGTTCAAGGATACAGATAGGGAAATTGTGGGCTTTATTTTATCTCGCTTGGCACATTTCATTGTCTACTATTTGTACGTGTACACTTGATTTTATCCAAATTAGAATACCCTAATTGATTAATGATTCAGAAAAAAATATATGATAGTGCGCTCCACATTTTCTCCAGTTGAAAATTCCCAGTCTACCTTACATGATATTTCTTTGCAGTACTACGACGCACAGTGCAGTCCGGATCGTCCGGATAGAAGTGGCAAATACACACGCATCCAATGGAGAATTTTGCAGAGCCCTCAAAAATCCAATAAATCTAATAAAACTTTTGCTTTAGATGATAGAACTCTCAAATTAGTAAAAAGTTAAGTATGTATTGTACGATTCTGTTATTGGTATCTCCTATTGGTTTAATCATTTGAAGGCAAAGGCAGTTCTAAAGAAAAAACTAACTAACTAAACTAACAACTAATTTTTTGGTTGGTTTTCAACTTTGACTTGGCTTTACAAAAAATAAATTCCTGGTTTCACTGAGTTTGGGGGGAAACCACTCTGCGATTCCATTCACTTTTTTACTTAAATCTTATATTAATCATGCGTCAAGCTATGCAAAAATATATATTTCTCTGAAAACAAACACTCGCAGCATCGTAAATGCTAGACGCGCGTTAGCACTGGTGAAAAAAAAGTAAATTAAAAGAATGCAAACATTTGTGTTTGCTAACTCAAAGCGTAATCATTCTGCGAGCATTTCTTCGTATTGGCATTTGTCTTCCATATTTCCCAAAGACAAAGAACTCCAGAGAACTCCTGCTTTAAGATGTACCCAAAAAGCAGTAGAATCTCGTTCTGTAGCGTCGCTTAGAGACTAGTCCGGCTCCTAATTATTTTCTGTCCGCTATTTATACCGATTATCGTCCTTCGTGGACGATATACATTCTTCTGGCTGTTACCCACATCCGCATCCCCCACCAAGTTGATTTATCGCAATGCCTCTTTGAGGTCAATTACCCGAAAGATCTTCTATTGGATTTAGGTCCGGGCTGATCGCTGGCCAAAGCAATAGGAGTATCTCCTTAGTCTTGGCTTGGTGGAAGATCCACTCATCCCCTTATAAGTCTGCAGCTAATTCAATGAGTGTTGTTTCTCACATCTCCAAATATATTAGAGATCAGCCTTTATTCTGGTTGGTATAAAACAAAGCGCAGACTTTCCAGGAGGAGCGATGAGCCTTTTAAATTTGATACTTCAATCTTTAACTCTATCTTTTTATTACCAACATTTTGTTGATATATCTTGCTAATCTGAGATCCAGAACGGTAGATGGTACGGCAATGGGTTAGGATTGTTGAGTCCTCTTCTGGTGGTTCTGTTTCTCCCCCCCGGCCCAGTCTATGCAACGGTGGGATAAGTTTTTTTAGGGGGTAACGTGTACTCGGAGTCTCTATAGCAATTTTGCTTGTTTCTGAAAGCTGAGTAAACTTATGTAGGTCAGATTTTATTGTAAAGGCTCCAGTGACTCTGGGCAATAAAACTTTTTCTAACAGTGCGGCAGAACCTGGCAGAGACTGCGATGTGGATGCTCCTCAATGCAGTTTCAAATTTGACGGTTGTGACAACTTTGTTTTGCCAGGTGACGCGTAACAACGACTGCGCGTTTCTGGCAATTTGGCGAAACTGCTCGTTCTGCTTCGTTAGAACTGAAGTAAGAGCCGGCGTTGTATTTGACGTGGAACCTGAATTAACTTTTCTACTCTAGCCAAATCTGCCGTACTACTAATGCCGTACCATATGGTTGGTCGCGGCACAGGGCCTTGCCTTGAATCAAATTTGACAGAGATAAAAGCTATTCCAAAATAAATAAGCAGGCCGGCATCCCTCGATCCATTAATGGGCACCGTGTAGTCGCAACACTCAAACACTGAGTCCGTCCCTACTAGTGCTCCTGCCACTGTTTCTGTTTGTGCAATCGACAGTGAAATGCCTGGTTTGTTTAACCAAAGTTTTCGTGGGTTTACTTTACTCCTTCTTGTTTTACAAGTATCACATACTTTCATTCATTCATTTCAACTATTTTGATATTTAGTTGAATTACACATGCCGCTCTCTGACTCGTTTTTTGATTGTCTCAGATTGTCTCAACTTTGTTAAACAAGTAACAAGAATCTTGACAAGGGAGTACCCATGATTTCTGGAACTTTCCGATGTCCTTCGTTGTTGAAATGGTGCTTCAAAAATCGTCATCTCACATACCGTGAGATCGAGGCATCCTTGGACATTAGTAACTTATTATAACTTATTATTTCTAGCTATCAAAAAACAATTTAGTTGTCAACGTTTTTCGGCTCCGAAAGAGGCTTATAAATTCTTGTTTTAGATATATTTTTAAAACCAATAAAGCCATTTCCCACCAAAAGAAATTCGTTTTCCCATAGTTACGTACCTGGTATTGTACCACTTCCATCAAAATCTAGTCACACACTAGTGAGGGTCTACATCCACCTCATTAACATGTGCCTCATTATTTGCGGCCATAGTTTCTCCATTCAATGCTTGCCAGCCTGCAAAGACAACAAACTCTTCAATAATTTGCATTGGGCTTTGGTAAAAAAAATGAATTAATTGGAAAACACATCACATGATTAATAACGAAGAAAGACCTATAGAAAATAGGCAACGTAAATGAATTAAACATTTGTTTACCTATAAGCATGCCCTTGCCCCCTAGTCTACAGTATGTATAGTATTTCTTTATCTTAATCAATTCTTCTATCATCATCTTAAGGGCGAACCACTTCCAAAGTCCCTCACAGAGCGTTTAAAACTATGTCTATCCATGAGCGAAACCCTTCCATTGCTTTAAACTGATTGACACTTGATGCCTTGGCCATTTGGCCAGCGATGGCAGAAAAAAGGGATGCAAAAAATGAAATATATGAATCCATAGACCAACTACAACAGCGGCGAATAAAGGACAACGGCCAAGCGGAAGTTGATTGACTCCTGTGGTAGAAGTTTTCCACCCACGGAAGTTTGATAAGAAAAAATGGCCGAGACTGCTCTTTGTCCTTCGGCCATTGTTGTCTTTTCCCGGGGGCTAACAGGGCCCAAATATGTACATGTCTGGTTTTAGTTTTAAGGCCGACAAGTAAGAATAAACTTCAAAAACCAAATGTGTTTAGCATTTACTTCTCTTGCCACCTTTCCATTTGCTTTATTTGAAACATAATCAAAAGAATGTCGATTAGACACGTTTGCGACAACGTCTTCCGAAAACCTCCCATCCCAGCCAGCAGCGCGGTTGGGTGTCCATCAGCAGCTCCCCTGTCACAGGCAGCTGATTGTCCACCAAGGCTGCACAACTTGTGTGCTGCAGGGAGGTTCGCAGCTTCTGGGGCTGTCGCGGATGCAGGAGACTCCGACAGTAGGCCACCTTGTCCGCCTGCAAAGGCAGCTCCGTCTCGATTCGTTCCGTCCAGTTGATACTTGGCGCGGCAAGTTGCAGCAGCGCAAGAGGTAGGAAAACTATGAGTCCGAGTGCTGCTGACGCACACATGTCCATGCCGTCGCGACGGCCAGATCTGAACTGAGCTCTGGGGCCAACAGCGGTCTAGGTACTGCCAAGCTCTGACCAGCTGTTTTCGTTTGCTTGTTTGTTCAGGGCTTTAGTTTCCGACTGGAAATCTGGCGTTTGAGGCTTGGCTCTGCTTTTCTTTACGGAGTTTCTACGATTCAACAGTTGAATCATTTAATCAGCTATATATGTATCTTGGATTTCCTCTTCTAATATTGTTCGGCTCGTTAGAACGCATGCAAGAATAGTTTCAAGTTGTTAAGTCCTTTAAAAGATACCTTTCAGTGCTTCAAGGCAATTATTTTTCGCTCAATGTTCGACCCTACATTTCGCTGCAATTGCTTGTCAGCCCTTTTCCTGCGTTTGGCGCTTTTACTATCGCCATCTCGACTGCTTGGCCTCTTCATTCTTCTGGTTGAAATTGCATTCACCCAAATGAAAGCGCAGTTACTCGACACTCCCGAATGAGGCGTGCAATCGAGTGTAAAGTACTCTCTTTTGTTACAGTATCCAACATCACGACAGGTTTGCACTAGTTAGTGGACTGCTTTCTACGCACTTCATAGAAAACATGTTTTGGGCAACATGTTTTACCTATAGCTACATATTCTATATACATATTCGAACAAGCAGGAGTACCATTAACATCCTCAGTTCTGAGCAGAAATACCTTTTCTCGATCCTATTAAAGTCTTCAAGATCCAAACTAAAGACCGATGAGCTACATCGAGTTTTTTGATGATGCTGATCCTAATATCTCTTCTTTGTTGTCGGTGTGTAATGATTTATTTCTGAACGTAGAAAAATCCTTCAACTTTGTTGCGTTGTGTCATTTAATAAAGTTGCCTCAAAAGTCATTTTCGCCGCTACCTATTTACATATGTATGTATGTATGTATGTAGGTATGTGTGTAGTTGTTACCGTTTGTTCCGGGCTGTCATATTTTCGTTGGGAAACCTGTATTTGTATGTATTTTAACACTGTATTTTACAATGTACACACACACAGGACAAAAGTCACTGCGAATTGAACGATGAAACGAAACGAAATTGCAACTAATAGAATTGATGGAACCAAAGAAAAACAAAAATCGCTGATAGTGGTGGGTAATGATTATTTTGACGCTCGAAAAGAGCCGCAGCTGTAGTTTTAAAACCTACATATATTTAGTCAGTTTGAATCTTACCTTTCAAATACATTTTATACGTCATTAAAGGTATGCGCCGGAAATGGTATCGAAGCTGATTTGTTCTTGCACTACGTGTATCCTCTTTCCACTTATGGAGGTAATGATTTCTGTTCCCGATAGGCCGACTTTTTATTTCGATTAAATGAAAACCCGGCGCACAACTAAAACTGCAATGTGTGGTTTATTGCGAGAGATCCAAATTGCAAGTGTCGCTTGCTTGCCCTTCACGTTGCCGCTCCGATCGCTGAGCGCAGCTTCGCTCGGCTTACATGGATAAGCAGACGCAAAGCGGAGATAACGAAGAGAGAGCTTTGAGATAACGCTTAGCAGGGTGAGCAATCGCAAAGCGAGTGACTTTTTGACAAGAAGCTAATCGTGGCGGGGCTCTGCACCTAATGACCTATTTGATCAGAACTTTTGAATATTTTATCTGTTTCCATTTTTCCGCGTAAGGTTTTTTATTCCGCTACATGTGTGTCTCCCCCCACTCACACCAACACCAGCTGAAGATTGAGTGTGTGAGAGAGAGAGAGAAACAGAAAAGTGGAAGGGGGCACATTTATTTGTTCATTCTGGCTATAATAATAATCCGATCTGATTCGGCATCTGGTAGATATGGTAATTCTGCATAATTGGCGTGGCAATATTTTTAAACATATGTACTATTTATAGTACTATTTTAAGTACTATTTATAGTGTGACACCACAGAAGGCTAGTTGCATACACAATTTGGTTGCCTACCTCTTATAGTCTTTAAGGACTAGGCGACAAACAAGAGGGAGAGACTGGGCCATATCGACTCGGCAATTGATGCTGGTTAAGAATATATTTACTTTACGGGGTCGCAAACGCTTCATTCATAAGCATTTAAGTACATTTAAGACTCGTTAAGCCCTATAATGAGTCCCAAAGCTTCTAGTTGCGCTGCTGTGAGTTAATATTGTTAGGTTTTTAGTAGTCAACTTTCTAAAAATGTGATTATTTTAGCCCTATTAATTGGCTATAGCATTAAATCACACGGCAGGTCAACACCCACAAGCTTTAAGATGCTTTTAGCGGGGCCCTAAAGCCCACTGCTAATGACACTTGCACGCCAAAGGGTGAACCCTGGTAATGGCCCAGACATGTGCTTTAAATTGATTCTACCCGACAAACTCCATTAGAGCAGAGCACAGACACAAGGGAAAGTTGGGAAAGTCAAAGGAGCCCACCCGCTGGCTCAGTAAATTGTAAATGTGGTTTAAAGGCAGCTGAAATTACAAAATTCTCAACAGAAAAATTCAATTACATGCCTTTGTTTTATGCTTTTCTGCTTTTCAATAGAATACAAGAATAACAGAAAAATAAAACCATTAGGATACCTGGTACGGCCTTTTCTAGATACCCTTTGATCACTATGAAAAGAGTCAAAGCGTCAAGTCAAAGTCCCAGGTAAGACTTTAAGATTAAGATAGCGAGCCATTTAGCAACATTCGTAGACCTATCGGTTGTAGTCGATAGTTGGTAAATACAATGGAAAAACTCTTGCCAAATATTGCAAGCAGACGCACCTAACAAGATCTACATGCATAACTATGTATCTGTGCACAGCCATGCACATACACATATGCATGTACATAATGCCTCATAAATCTTCATTCATTCGATTCATCGTGGAGGAGCCATGGACGACAGTGTGCGAGTCATTAACAACATCATCGCACAGTGGGACGCTCGTTCATTTCAACTTGCTAAATTAATAACTTCTGAGCGAACACCAAAACGTCCTTTTCACAATTACTCTCTTTCAGACCCTCTTCACCGTGCAGTGTGCGCCGTCTGGCGGATTTCTCATTGAAAAAAGGGGAAAGCTTTGAATGTTCATATCTCCCAAACGTCCATAGCATGTTGAAAATCTAAAATTTTGCCACCTGCTTTTGCCTAAGGCCCCACTGTGCTTCGTGTCGATTTATTCCCTTCTCTTAGCACATTTGTTTCTCTTTCGCTCCTTTCTATGTCGATGGATACATCATTTATCATTGGAATCTTTTAGTTGTCATATTTCTGCTGCAGCTGAGTGCACCAGAGCTGATTTTTCACTTCTTAGTCCCAGCTATCGACAACAAAGTGACAGACTATCACACATTAATGTACTGCATCGTGCAATTTGTGGACAGTATGGAGCATGAGTGGGAGCATGAGACAAAAATATCGTATTGAATAATGAGCACCCGCCATGGAGCATGGATGTCGAGCTCGTTCAAATGTGAAGTCATTTTAATTTCCGCCGGAAATAATATCGTTTAAAAATTGAATTTTAAAACTCACACGCTCGGCGCAACAATGCTACCCCTGCGCTACCCAGAATCCCATAACTGTCGGTAATGAAAAGGAAATGACACAAAATAATCAAAAAACAGTAGCGTAATGCTTGAGATTGTGAAACACAAAACAGTTTGGTCATCAGCTTCTTCCTCGACTCCCCTCATTATACGATTTGTGTTCAATTTTTGTTGGTTTAATGGTAAATTATTGTCCCACGAATGCTGCTCTTAAGACGTGTTTCCAAGTCCATAATTCCATGTCTTTTAACTTATAATTTACATTTATGGCATTCAATAGTCTCAACTCTTTCCTTTTCTTGCTTCTAACTCCCTATTTGCCTGATTGAGATTCAGTGTTATGTTAATTTTTTGACCCAGTGGCTTTAGGTCTTGCAGGCAGTGACATTCACGTTAACGTTTCCAACACTGGAGTTAATCTGGGTGCGGCCTTGCTGCCACCGAATTTTATCCTCGCTCTTTTTTCAGGAACCCGAACGTGTAAATTTATAATTAAACGCCAACACTTTTTCCAGGCCAGCCTAAAACTTTGGGCCAGATTCTGGCGGCGGCCACATGAATCCGCCTCCGTTTTGAAATTCGTTTACAGTGTGTGCTCTGGCCATTTCGGCATTGTGTCCTTGTGGCGTTTTTGCTTTGAAATCTTCCTTGTAAGCACTTAATTAGTGGTAAAAGTTAGGAACAAACCAACAAAACATACTAAATACAGAGAAGGACAGCAACAGCCACTGGCTGGTCCCTCCCATCTTTCAAATGGGATGAATTTATTTCGTTTGACGCATATTAGATTACACGGCTTTGCCCCAGAAAGGACCAAGAGCGACCAGTTACTGGAAGACCCACCACATTTGCGGTTCCCTGGAAACTTCCAGCCCCAGTGATTTTTTCATTTATCTATATATTTGTCTTCTTGTAGGTACAAGGAGTCAACCGTTAATAGTTAATATATACGAGCAATGGTGGCGTGCTATTTGATAAGTATATTATGAATACTTTTCGGCTTATACACACTATGCAGTTTTAATAACTTTTGATTACTTTTTCTAATTACTGGTGAACGCTTTCCTGAAAATTGGACTTCTTGATTCCATATGAAAATTCTCTGCTTCTAAAGGCTTTTGCCAAACATTTTCTCCATCAGCACACATAAATTTTCAAAATATTTTGTCAAGCCTAATAGTGCCGGGAGGCCAGGGCGTGTTTTCCGTCTTTCATTGTTAATTATTAATTAGTAATTATAGACAATATAATGGTTTGTGTCTCTGAAACAGCAGTGCCGCTGTGTGGCACAAATAAAATTATTTACATACAAATAAAAATTAATCCCAACTCTCACTGCCTCCAACCATGCTTTGCTTGCGGTGTTTAATTAACTTTTGCAGGGAAATTACTCGGAGAACTTTAAAACGATAAAACTTTTGCGAGCCGACATTTGCCCCTTTCGAGTTCTTTCTACCAAAATTACAATATTAAATTTAGTTTCGCATAAAACAGAAAACAATTAAACTTCTGAACGCCCGCACATAAAACAAGACCAAACTCACCAGGCCCCCCGCCCCGCCCCGCCCCGCCCCGCACCGACTGCTGGCTCGTGGAACTGCATAAATGTTTGGCTTTGATGACAGAACAGAACGACAGGCCCGACCAGTTCCGCCCTGTCCTGCAGACAGGTGACGGGTTGTATTTATCTGTTGCTCCTGCCTCGTTTATTGTGGCCCTGCGGTGATTTTACGGCGAACAAACAGCAACGGCAGAAGCAGAAGAATGTAAATCCCGCCTGAGTGCAGGTCGAGCAGGGAAAACTTTGCGGCTTGCCGTGCTAATGATTCAATCTACTTGCCCGAGCTGCCCTGAAAGTTTACAAATTTGGACAGGAACAACGTCAAAAACCACAAAATCACGCCAAGAGGAGGAAATAAAGCGACAAGCAAAAATAAATTTGAATTGAAAGCGCTTTCAGATTTTAATTGCAGCGGCTCACGGAACGAACTGCAATCAACCCTTTTTTTCCTTCTTCAAAATAGTTGACGAGCTCTCCGTTTAATGAAAATCGATACATACCCTTCTATTATATTATTGCGAACAAACGGAGAAATGGAGCTCCAGTATTTCCAGAGATTTCCGTTCCCGATCGGCCGATTTATTATTTCGATTAAATGAACACCCGGCGCACAACTAAAACTGCAATGTGTGGTTTATTGCGCGAGATCCGAATTGCAAGTGTCGCTTGCTTGCCCTTCACGTTGCCGCTCCGATCGCTGAGCGCAGCTTCGCTCGGCTTACATGGATAAGCAGACGCAAAGCGGAGATAACGAAGAGAGAGCTTTGAGAGATCGTTTATCAGAGTGAGCAAGCGCAAAGCTTTACCACACATCGAGTGACATATTGAGTGACTAATTGGCAAGCAGCTAATCGGCGGGGTTATGCTCTTCAACTGTGGCTTGTGTTTCAGACTTTAATGAGCTACAAATAATTGCGCTTCTGTAAATGCATATGGCTTAAGTGAGAACATAACGATAGAGCAACTAATCGCTATGACGTGCTCAATGCAACAAATCTTAGAAGAGAGAGGTAGACGAAAATCTTCAGCTTTAGCGATAGATGGAGCGTGAGAGAAACGAAGAAGGCAGAAGAACCGAAATAACGACCACTGCACATGCGGTGAACAATGATTATGTACAGTACTCTATGAAAATATCAATAGAAAAAATTAGTTTAAATCGATTAAATTCATACAATCATTTGTCAGCAGTTTATTTTCAAATTAAGAGCAAACAAGATTGGCGGGGATTGGGAAAGACACGTATCAATCAGTGCAAATTGAGTTTGTCCGTAATATATTTGCACGCAATTAAGAGAGGGGCTGGCAAGCGAGTGCGGATAATTATGATTTCATTTGAGAGACTCAACTGCGAAAAATTATGCGTGCAAACACACGAACAAGCCACCACACGGAGCTGATAATCGCGCATTCGCCTCGTACGCCCGCTTGCGATGAAAATTAGGGAGCGGACCGCATTACTGTTGACCAACGCTACCCTTACCAGTGCTGTTGACGCCTAACCTGAACCCACGACAGCCCCCGACATTTCCTGCGACTGTGGCGTCACATATGTGTGTGTGTACGTATGTATGCGTGGAAATGCGAAATAATGACTCGTGTGCCGGCTTATCCGCTTAATTCGACACACTTTTGCCGGCTCTGGTTCGGTTAAATTTCCATGTTTCGCTTGTGCTATCGAGGTCTGAATTAAGGTAAATTAAGTTACGCTCACGTACATTACTGCGGATTAAACGACGAAATGATCAAACAAAGGGACTGTCGGACTTCGAAAATGAAACGGGCATGGCGGTTGCGGGACTTAATTAAGTACAACTTTTTTGATTACCATGAAAGCAGCTGCAGGGTTGAGTCAAACTTAGAATATACTGGAATTAATGTAATATAATGAACGTTACTCAATCAAATTTAACAAAATTCCGTTTATTCTTTCTTACGAAGTATATTACGTTGAATATATGTACATACGAGTATAGCTATGAGTATGTGTATTTGCTATTCGCTTATATCGCAGTTTTAATCCATTTTTTTATTTCTTTGATAGCCTGTTAACATTAACGACAGTTAATTTCAATTAATTTGAGGTTCGGCAATGTAATTTTCAGAACTAATAATATCCTAATAATAATAATTTCATTCTCAAATTAATAACCAAGTTTTTTCGATGCGTTGTCATAATTATATACATTATTTAATATGAATATTTTATTTTCAGTTTTTCCATTATATTTAAAGCTGTGCATACAAATTAGACCAACGTATGGTATTAGCTGTGTAAGTTTGTTGTTTGCCAGATGCAAAATATACCCAAAGAAAAGTACAAATCTCCATAAAATGATTAGCAGTCGTTTTCATAGAAACAAAATCTAAAATTATTACTATGTCTATATTTAAAGTGATTGTATGTAATGTATTGATGAAAGTATTTACTGGTTGATTGAATATACATTACACACAGATTACGAAATGGTTTCTTTATATTTGATGTTCTGGATCGTATTTTGATGTTCATCCTTAGCTATTAAATAGTCCTATGTACAATATATTCAAGTATCCACACACGTAATTACTTATCACGATTCAGACAAAGTTTCCCTTAGGTCTACGTCTACCCGTAGCTGTTGCCGCTCCCCCCTTCGGCTGAGTCTGATTGCTTGCGGGTGCCAGTAGTTGATATGCAGAGATGATACATTCGAGGAGGCGTTGGAGCAGCTGCAGGAGAGTAGCCATCGCACAACTGAACTGGCAACCAACGCCATGACGAGAGCCATTCGAGTGCTCCGACAGCTGCTGGCCACTCGGACACCTTTACTCTTCTGCATCGCCGCGGGGCTTTCATCTGAGGGCGACGAAGAGGCGAGAAAAAAGAAGCATGGCATTTAGAAGACGGCAAACCCAGATACCCGCTTTGGTAATGGTACAACTCACCATTGATGACATTGACCAGCACACTGGCCGCCTCCGCCGTGGTCGGCAGGCACGTATAATTGCCCGTGTCAAGCAGCTGTGCATTGGCAATGCGTAATCTGTAATACATTGTAATAATGTCAAGTCTTGAAAACACTGTACATCTTAATGGCTTCCCTCTCCCAGCGTCTCCGCTTCATTAATTTGATTTTATAAAAATACCAAGCGATGTGCCAAGTGGAAGCGAACACACCTGCTGGCCACCCAGCACTACATCCCATTGCCCTTCCCGTGACGTTCCAGATTAGAGGAAACTCCGTACTAATTGTGCCATTTTGTTGGGAATGATGGAACTGATTTTTGCTAGTATACTAGCATGTTTATGCGACTTACCTGCTCTGTAGCTTCTCTGTCAGAGTTGATTCCATGGAGATACGCTGCAAATCAATGGCCGCCTCATTGGGATGGGCAACAAACGGCGTTAATATGTATGGGCCGCGATACCAGTAGATGGGGCCAATGTCCTGTGCCGATGTCGTCGGCTGTTTTACCAGGCATGTGAGCGTTATGACGCTGCCCACTTTGACGTACAAGTCCGTCGGACCAGCAATAATCGCTTTGGCATCTGGCGGCGTCACTGCAGTGTGGCATAGATCGGAATGGAACGAGCAACAAATTGATTAACAGCATGTTCAGGTGCTCTCTTCCTCCCGCACACGTGGGGCTCGTCTGGCTAACGGCATAATTCAATGGGCTTCAATTGATTGGGAGGGTGGAATGGGACTCCCCACAAAAGCTCTCTCACAGAGCGTGCTTGTGCGTGGCATTCCTGGCCTTATACCTCGGAGGGACAATAGCTGGATCCCTGATTTCAGACTGATAATGAGCAGCGTTGTGCCGCTCAGATTGCAGCAAACGGGGCCCGAAGAGGGGGTATGCAATGTGGAGCAATTCTAGTCATGGCTTCAAGGTAAAATCGATTCTTAAATCTTATTTATCACACCCTAACTTATTCAACTCTCCATCTGTTCATTTACATATGTATATGGGTATATGGAAAGAACAGAAAATTTGTCCAATTGTAATTATTCTCAATGGCCTTAGTACCGCCTTTGTTATGGCAAAATCAATACACCAAAATTGACATTTTTTGATGGCATTGTGATATCAAAATGCCCCTATAACAGAAAATAATAAGTGAGTGGTAAGCGGTAAAAAGATGTTTCCGACCTTTCGGATACCTTTTGTGCCTTAAGATCTGAAAATCATAATCCTGCAACCTGTTGAAGCTTCTAGATCCCTTCTGAAGAATTGAAGACACATTTTAGGATACGAGTATTGAGCAGACGGAGCAGGAATCGTATCTTCCAGATACAGTATTCCCTTGATCGCTTTATGCACTGGGTATGAAAATCTAATTTGTAACCACGGACACAGAATTTTGGGTTTGGTTTTATGTAAGTGTCCTTGGGTTCCGGCGCGTTTATTCCCGACTGATGGGACTGGCATAACATTGACCCATTGTTTGTCGATGAAGTTGTTGCTTCTCGAGGGAGGTCTCGCATTTTACACACGTTTTTAGTGCTGTTAGCCAGTTAATGTGAGTCAGCTATGGGGTTGGTACAACGTGGGTGTGTGTATCTGGTGGGGTTTTCCACAATCCCTACTGTGTTCTCGGGAGAGGGGAGGAGAAGAGCTTTCCGTTCGCTGACGCAGCTGCCGCGGACAGAGACAAGAGTGCATGCTGCCTAGTACAAGACCGTTTTAGGCACTGAAAACTGCCTTAATGTTTTTCAGTGCGTTCAGTCCACCGTTTTCGGCGAACACAGCAGGCAGTCAGCAAAGTCAAATGTTGACGTTGTTAATGATGTGCGGGGTGGGACTGGCCGCAAGGACTCGGTCGGCATTCAAGCCTATAAGCGGATTTCAACACTCCCGAAGAGCAGCTCAGCATGGAGTGGCATCAGTGAGGGGAAGAGCAATCCAGTTAGTTAATTAACCTGGCAATGGGTTGGTGTCGTTTGGGTAGGTCTTAAATACTATCGATTTGAGAGATTGAAACTGTTGAAATGGCTAGAATAGTGTAGACGGATGAGGTCACAGATTTCCCCAAAAAATACAAAGATTTTTTATATCCTAGCTCTGTAAACGGTACAGAACTATTTAACACTCCCAAAGAGCAGTTCAGCGCGGGAAAGGATCCTTAGATCACTCGATCAATCAGTGTTCATGCTTCTCAGAAACAAAATCCCTTAAGCCAGCCAACAGAAACGCAAATAAAGAAAAATTCTCTGAATGTCTTCCTAAAAATATCTAGAATCTGATGTAAATCAGTGAACAATTTTGTGGTCTTGCGCCCACGTGATTCGCGTGACGACGTCATGAATATTTTGATCACGATTTCATCGCTAGCGAGCACTTCCTTCACTCCGAATCATTAGCATATATTTCGAAGCTTAACACAGCAGGTGGCGGCCCTTCAGAACTTCCCATGTCCCCTGTCCCCTGTCCCCTGTACCACTTCCTGCCGCCGACGAGCTCCAGGCCAGACGAGGACCTGGCACGAGGCCGGATTACGAGTACTATGTATGTACATCCGCAATGCAGCCGCGCCCGAGAAGGATGTTTGAATATTTTGCATCCTCAAGGCACTCGCATGCCGAAATGAGCATCTGCGGAGGCTGCAGCGCTAATATGACTTTGGCTTTTGATGCGATTTACACCTTTTGACTCGACTTGAGTTCGTTACAAGATTGAGGCAGGCAGCTGCTGGAGGCAGGTAATTTGCTGGGAAAGTCCTTTATCAGCCGGTATTCGTCACTCGTACACTGTTGAGAAAATAGCTCGTGCTGGGCTTTGAAAATAACCTATTTAAATAAACAGGCCACCGAGTGCGCCTAGTCATCCACCGAGAACTGCTCAGAGAGAACATCCCAGACACTGCAGAAAACTGCTCCGGGTTCAAGCCCACAGCCTCCTTGTTGGCAATGCGAATTAATTTGAAACTACGTATAACAGTGGAGGTTGGGCCAGAGACAGACGTATTCAAGCACACACAATGCCATGGACCTCCTCAACAGGCGCAGCAGGAAATCCATTGTAGAACACCTGTGCGAGGGGGAATGGGAGATCCCTTGGGTGGGGTCCTTGGTGTGCATTACAACAGCAGGCATATGAATTTAGTATTGAATTTAAATTCAAATTGCGTTTGCATGCAAAGCGTGTAGAAAAATAGACACGGCGCCCCGTAAGCCGATGGTGTGCCGACAGTGGCCATACTCTCTCTCTCTGAATCTACTGAATCTGTAGAGCTCTACAACTGTATAAATAAATAAATAAGTTAGAATTCTTATCCCAGTCTTCTAATCTCTAGTTCTTGTGTAAGGAATTCATGGAAGACAAGGATAAACCACTATGACCTATGGGTACACACTCGTTGCCCGCCGTTGCATCCATCTACCTCGAGCTGACAAACTTTACGGCCAATTTACAATGCCCTTCACCGGAGAGAAATACAGTGTGTACGTGCACTATGTATCATAAGTTGCCGTTGCCAAGAAATTTCTAACAATGCGTAGGAACACAGGGCGAAAGGGCGGTGGGGGGGGTAAGGGATACGCGAAGGAAGGGCTGGGAAGGTTGGCTTACTCACCTATGACATTCAGGCGGAATGCCATCGAAATCTTTGGCTCCGTGTTCACTTGGCACTCGTAGATGCCGCTGTCACGTGGCTGAGCGTATTTCACATGCAATGTCCAGTCCTTGGAGTCGGCGGTGCGTACAACCTGCACAGCCCAGAAGGGGCCAAACAGAAGGAGAGAAAGTGGAGTCGAATGAGACAGGTACAGGGATACAGAGAATGCACGATAAATCGTGGCCGGGGACGAACCGTCCTTGGGCGAATTTAATCAATGCATACAAGAGCCTGGCCCGAATTGCATACGCAATTAAGCTGACTTGGCTTACAAACGATGCCAGGTCGGGCTGGGGGGAGCACTTAATGAACCAGCGGGGGGGTGGGGGCTGGAGACAGGCAGGGGAGCTTACGGATACGCACCTTGAAACGTTCGTCGGAGGTGTAGGTCAAAACGCCTGCAGTCAGGATGTGTAAATCGCGTTTCCTTATCCAGGATACCTGTAAGAAAATGAGAAAAGGGACACCAAATGCTGTTACAGCCAGTACTTAAGTCAATTTTTTAAATTGGGTTTAGTCCTGCCGCCCGGCTGCTCCGGAACTCCGGAGAAACTGAAGCCGAAAGTAAGGGTACGAAAATGTGATAAGCAAAACGGCAAAATAGTGTAAGCAGCCAACTCTGTTAAGAGAGTGGGCTACAGCTCATCGCAAATACTGTGGTACCCCCCAAGTTTAAGCCCTAAAGATACGGAGAAAATCGGTTTAACTTACACAAATATTTACATATGTAGGTTTGTTTTCCTGTTGATTCATTACTGGAACCCAAAGATATAAGATCCGTTTCCTTGTATTCGCTCAAGTTGATTCCAACACTTTAATTGGAAAATGGATTCGCAGAGGAATGCATCTTGTAATTTCGTTTGCTTTTCGATTTCGACTTACAACCCATCCCAATCGTGGACTCCACTGTACAGCACAGAGTCCATTACTGTTTAAAGGCGGCAGCAGGCGCCGAGCACACACGTGGCAGACAAGGCATTGGCCAAGCCAGGCCAACGGCGGAGAAGAAAAGAGAAATGTAGACAAGTGCGTGCCCAAAATGTCAGCAGCTTAAAGTTTCCAAAAGACTCAAAAAAAAAACTTCCTGCAACTGCCGCTACGGCAGGCAAAAAGTAATCTCGCCGACTGCCCCAGGCTACCGAAACTTTTCGCTCCCCCAAAATCCACAAAAAATGAAGGGGAGAGGCGCAGCACACAGCCTACAAAGGGGCGACACTTAAAGTGTCCAAGTGGCACAAGAAGGCAACGCCTGAGAGCTCCTCTTAAGGTGTGGCAAAGGGATTACGATGGCCAAAGGTCCGCAATAGTAAATCAGAATCAGAGTCTGAGAATGTTTCTTTCAGTGGAGATGGATAATGGTGATGGCAGAAGGTGATGTGAATGGAATGGCGGAATGGAATGGTGCCTCTAAAACGGTTTTCCTACACTGGTAAAATTTTTTAAATACTCTGAGATCCAGCAGGGAAAATATCTTTTTTTGTGGGAAACGCTATCCCCCGTTTTGTACGTACTTCAACACGAATACATTATACCCTTGATATCTAAGAGCAACTCAAAGCAGAAAGGAAAACACAAAGAAAACTCAATGAAAACAAAGCGGGGAAAATATATGAATGAGAGGAATCGTATGTGGAGACTGGACCTTTGTCATGAAACCCCCAGAACAAGGGTAAAAAGATCCAAAAGATGGCTGGGAAAGCGGAACAGACTAGCGATACGAAAAGTTGTGCACACCGCTTGACTAGCGATCCAAATGTTTTCCTTAAGAATGCATTGAAAGGAAAACCCGCAGTGGAACCTATTTCTCGATAATCTGGCAAATGCAATCTCTGGAATCACTCACCGACTTATCGCCCAGATGGTCCACTCGGCAATTGATGGCCGCCGTGTGACCCGTTCGGGCCGTTATATTCCTGGGCATACCAAAGTCAAAAATTGGTGGCGGATAGGTTGTCTCGTCTATTGGGTGCTCTTCTGGCTCCTGCTCCTCCTCCACGGCATTGTTGAAATGAGCAAAGTGGTTACTGTTCCGGACAAGAGAGGCAATGTAGACGTAATCGCTTTCAATCGACGCTTCGGGCGATGAAATCACTGGCAGCAAATCGTTGACGCTGGTGTTTCTGGACTTGGCTGAAAATAGGTAAAAGCAAAATAGTATCAATATTTGATCAAGAGTCCAATTTCGAAATTAAAAAATCTCAAAGAAGATTATATTGCATTTTTTTGCACCTCTCGATCAGGCTTTAAAGGGCTGCTTTAAAAGGTAGATGGTAGAGAAATAGGTTTAAGACAATCAACTCTTGAAGAGCTTAGCCAGTTTCTTCCCAGTCTAATCTTATCGATATATTGGATATATGTACATATAAGACACGAAAACCCGAATACAGACTATTTGAATACAAACATTCTGACGTTCCAGACTTCTGAGTCGCAAAAGGGTTTCGAAACTGGGTTTTAACCTATACAAAATGGACTTGATTTGTACACTAAACCATGTTTAACAATACGTGTCTATTGTGCCAAGAACTATCCCTCTATATTATTGGTTTACGCCGCATTGTATGTCATCTTATTTCCGCCGAAACGTGCCCAGTAAAACAAAGTTAGACGTTAACTCCCACAAACTCTCATAAGTTATAAATCACTCGCTGGGTGCCGACAGACCATCTAGACCGTGCTCGTCTTTGACAAAGTGCAGTGCACACCTCACGTACGGCCCGTGCAGTCACACTTTACGGCGTAAAGCGAAAAATCATGTTTTTGCATTTGAATTTATTTGACACTTTAATGAGCGCACAATGACAGTCGGAGCAGTTGCCAGACGAAGAGCGCGATCTGGCCAAGTGGAGGGGTAGCTCTCTCGCTGACATTCGCCCCTCCAATCCGTAACTAGGTCACTCACTGTGCCGGCTGCACTTGAGTCTTTTTGGGCCGCTGGGTGGTACTTGTGCATGTTAGACACAAAAATCTAAATTATTTAAGTGCCAGCCCCCGCCCGAACGCAGAGCCTTATACGTACATACGTTGAGGAATTCCAGGTAGCGGGAGATGCAGAGATTTACCGTGTAGAGAATTAGAACTGGGACATGTGTATGTTCTTCAAATGACAGACAACATTTCAATAGATTTCCTCAATTCGTTAAGCGAAACGAATACAAAACAATACATTTTTTAATGTATTGCAGTGTTTCCTTTTGCGGCCATATCAAGCTGTTCATTTTGAAAAACGCCGAAATAGCCTGCCGTCATATGAAAACTGTAAATTCCGCACAAAAACGAAACTCGACGCCAAATCCCAATGCGAGTGGTGCACTTCTAGTTGTTGCAGAAAGCTATCCATCAGTGGTTGTTGTTGTTGCTGCTTTTGGGGGTCTGTTTCAAGCCGCAAACCCACACACGGATGATGCACTTTCAGTTTTGGGCAACATTTGAATGCTCGCGGAGCAACTGATGCAAATTTAATTTGGACACCTCTCGGAAAAAACGGCGAGCGCGTGTGTGAGAGTGTGAGAGTGTGCGAGTGTGAGAGTGTGAGAGTGTGCGAGTATCGGAGCGCATAGCCTGCACCCGAGAGTGTATGAGCTGCAACTAATGATGTTACAGGCACTCGCACTGGCATGCCTCTTTTTTATCTAACGATCGAGCGCAGTTTACTTTGGTTTTTTATCTCTTTGACAGTGTTTTTCCCGGTGCGGTTGTCCTAATGTCCTGGTATGGTTGGTGGCCCGATTGCTGCGGTTGATGACTGTCGTCCAATGTTCTTTGGCTTCCGTCACAGTTCGCTGAGTTTTTTGCGGCGTCAACTTCGTGTTTGGTTATTTTTAGTTTGACTGCAGCGGCGTACAGCGAGTGTATAATATAACAGAAATGGAGGCTTAGCCTGGCTTACGGTGGTTGTGTATTTACCTTGGAGCAGATTGGCTTTAGTCAGAGAAGCCCTCGTCTTGGTAGCAAAAGAAAGTCTAGTCCGACCTAGAGAGCGCTGCGATTCTTGAGCATCAGATGAACGCACTGTACGGTTTAAGCTGAGAGGTTGTGCTCTCGACATATCATTTTTTGCTTGCTTTTATCTGTCTCTAAGGCGCTCTCTCCCTCTAAAGCTTGCGCTCTCTTCTTATCTTGCGCTTGCCGCTCTTCTCTTGTGTTTGATCTGAGCTTTCGGGTGCTGCTGCAGCTGCAGCATTCAATAAACGGTTAATTCATTTCATAAACATTTATATATTCCATATTCTCTTCTAAACAAGATTGAAGGAATGGTTGAAATGGTGGGCCTAAATAATCTCTTAGAAGGATCAAAACAACGTCCAATATTTATAAATTTAAGTCGCTGAAATATGGTGAAAAGCAAGCAATTGAAAATAAGCTTTAATATTGTTTTCGGCTAAAAATAAATTATAGAGTTTCCCACACCCATACTCTTACCGCAGGGAGACAAAATAAACGCTCATTCAAATGGCTTGGCTTAAAACATTAAAGCCACAAGCTGCGGCTTAAGGTAGCCGGGCAAAGGCAGACAGGAAAAGGGCTTCTGAAAAATTCAATAAGCAGCTTGTTCCATCGCAATCGTCGAGGAGGACTCCACTCGACGCAAAGTGGGTGTTTGGGGAATATTTATTAAAATCGTTGTGTACAATTTGTGTTTTGCATATCAAAAGGCGTCTGTGTATGCACTCTTGCCCAACATTCTTGTGCGGCAGCACTGCATGCCCCTCGGGCTTGTCTATAATTTGTTCCCTTCTCTAGGTATGGTATTTTTTTGAGCGAAGTATCGCACTTTATACACGTACACGGATCAGAGTTTGCCCCAGTGGCCAGCGGAACAGCTCCTTTCTGCGAGTATAAAACATTTCAAAGGCTTGGGTTCATTGAAGCTAGCTCTGGCCAAAACAAACGGCCTCGGGTCAGGAATCTTGGCTAAATAGACTCTGCAGAGATGGCCAAAGATTGAAGGGACTGCTTGGAGTACTAGTATTCACGACTGGAGCTGCAATGTGCTTTAGTAGAGAGTGCATCACAGCTCCGGGCTGTTGGCAGAGGTCTCGCTTACACGAATCATGTGGCCAGAAGTACAGTCCAGACAGCATGGGAACGCGGTACGGTGACCCTCTATTCATATGGATTTATTCAAAGTCGAATGGCTTTAGACCGTTCCTACTCTTAAGATCCAAAAACTAAAATTGTAAAAAGTATTTATCGAACATTTTTCAATCAAACAAATTGTATTTTATGTTAGATCAACTTTGAGCAGGGTCCTTTAGTCCTCTCCCCCCAGCTAGTCACAAATTTCCTTCAAGGGAAGTTTCCGTTAAATTCCATTCAAAATGTTCGAAGCAAACATTTGTGTTGTCCCCAGCCGAAATGGAGTATTGATAAGAATCTGGCCTCCCTCCCAGGTCCAGGGATTGGAGCTGGCACACTCAATTCCGATTGAGCCCGACAGAGCTCTTCGGACACATTTGTACAGCATTGGAGTGCATAAATATTTACGACTATTAGTTTTAACTCGGAGATCACAACTTTTTCGATTAACTGCAAACTCACTGCGACTCGGAGAAAATTAGCATACCGATGGGACTAGAAAAACAGATTCGGAGGGGGGGGGGGTATCTCGGCGAAGCGCCGAAAAATACAATTAAAATAAATTCTACATAAGCCTTGTCATTTCCATTACTTTGTCTAAATGAGTTCAATGCCAGATCTATGTGAAAACAATTCTTAGTCCCAGATATGTCGAAGGTATGAATATATGTCTGTGGATGTGCCAGAGGAACTATAGGATAACATGTCCAAAGCCAACCAAAGGAGGGTTCCATAATTTAGTTTGTGTACCTAGTCTGAGACGTTATAGTCGCATCCCGATAGATCTATGGATGAAGCATTCCCAGAGGGAATAGGTCTACCTTGAATTTAAATTTGTCGCTTAGTTTACTGAGACATATATTGCGCCTCTCTAAATGTACCCTTTGCAAAGCATCAGAATGCCGCACTCATGACCACACTCATAGCCACAAAGTATTCGAAAACGGAATAAATTATGAGGCGTGCCGCGGGTTACACGCATCGTCACTCAATTCTTAACAGGCTGCCCTCCAGAAAAGTCTATAAATTTTAAAGTCGCAATTAGGCGGGGCGTGGTAGCTACAGCAACAATTCATAAAATTCGCATTAAACGAGTATGTTTTTGAATTATAATGTATTCAGTGAACCATACACGTGGCTTTTCTTCAGTTCTGGTAGACTATTCCCATACACTTCCCAAAAGAGGTAAACTTTTTCAGGAAACTCCCAACCTAGACCAAATGGCGAAGCATCATTTAAGGTGTGCGTAGTATTTGGGAGAACCCTATTGGGCTGGAAAAGTTTCCGTGCTCTATGCTGAGAACAACCTTCGACGCCTTTAAATCATCGGCTGCCAGGAGCACACGACGCTGAATTGCCTGCACACCTGCACAGCCCAAACAGAGCAGAGTCTCAAATAAATTTACATTTAGATATGTGAAGAATATAAATAGGGGAAGAGATGAAATCCGAACCATTTATTTCAGCAAAATGTACCACTTTTGTACCCCTCTTTTGAGCTCATTCTATGTAGAGTACGGAGACGATTGCTTGTCTCGTGAGCATCGGTAGCTCTCTGTCGAATGCTCCACGGTCACGCTGTCATCTCTATATTTTATAGAAAACATATCATATATTGGCTTTGGGTAGAATAATGGCTCGCAATTTGTAGAGCCTACTTTGGGCCCTGCCAGACAATGAAATATTCTCCATAAACTCGCCCCCGTGTCTCACGTCTGTGCCTGTGCTTGTACGAGTATATTCCCCTAAGCACCATCATCAGTTACAAGTGTGAACAATAAATTGTCATCAGCTCGGCTCGACTCGACTTTGCTTTATTTCTTTTCAGCCGGGCCCGCTCTTCAATTTGGATGCTATGGTGCCTGGTGCTGTGGTGCCTGGTGCAGCCGGGGGTGACACAGTCTGCTCTACAAATTGACACACACAAAGCGGAAGAGCGGAAGTGAGGAAACGGAAGCCAAAAAAAAATCGTACGAAGTTTCGCTCTCGTTTGAAGCTGACATTTATTGCGCACATGGCTCCAGCCATTGGTTTTTTATGCGCTTTTGGTGGTGCTTCGAAGACTACGGTTTTCAATTTACATACACGCTATTGTTGGTGGCTGTGATTATCATCAGCCCGAGTCTGGGTGGCACAATTCGGTCTATGAGTAGTGTCGCATATTTCTTTGCCCTCCACTAATGTGGGGCGCTGCGTTGTGCAAGGGATCTAATATGTTTTTTTGTAGACGCTGTAGACGCAGAACTGTTAACATTATTGGCACTAAATGGCATATGACATGCATAGAGATGAGGAAGACAGTTTAATATCCAATAGACGCTTTCGAGAAGGTCAAAATTATATTTTATATACCCTTCCATACCATTTCGAGCCGAGGATGCTTCCCATTCCCATTCCCACTCGAAATCTCTCCGCTTTAGACCCCGCCCTTTACAATTCAGTGTAATATAAATATGGACCCTAGCGACAGACACGCTCGGCAAATGAAAATCAACTGGGAGCAGTCATTATGGCGGCTTTCACTTTCACTTTCCCCCTCGCTAATGTGTTATGAGAGCCCAATGCAGAAGACGCTTCCAACCGTCCTCTGAGGGCGGCTTCCCTCTGCCAAAGGGGCGTAAAGCGGGCTGAGTGCTAGTTAGAGTGTGTTTAAGCAAATAGGTCGTCACACAGACAAGTCGAGGCCGAAGTCGCACTCCAACGCGGCAGCTTACATTGTAATCTGGAGAACAGCGAAGCCAGACAAACGGAAAACGGCAGAGCACAGCCAGCCACGGCGGTGTGCCTCGAACCGGCAGATACCCTAGCCAGGCCATTATAATTAGACGACTACCTAGCAGGCGAACCGGTGCAGATATGCAAGCCCGTCCCACGAAGTCTGCAAAAGTCAAGGCAGGAGTTCGAGATTTTTGAGAAGTAGAACGGGAATTACTTTCGGGCATACAAGCCACACAAACAAACCCCCAACATTTGCGAGTGAGTACTCGTATTTACACTTATTTCATGTCTCCCAACGCATTCTTTACGGCTTGCCTGGGCTGGAGCAGGAGGGCGGGACACTAAGGAGGGAGTCTCCCTTCTCTTCTCTGACATAAAATTCGTTTTGCTTCTCCGCCGCCTGAGATCTCTGTCGCTCGCATTGGCGCCACAGAGCGTATGAGTGATTAAAAGTTTCAGCATTAAGCAAATTGCGTCTAATCCTGGCCAGGCCAAAGGCCATTTCCCCTTCCTTCGTGCTTGGCGAAATCCTTGTCGCCGCTATGCTAATTATATCACGCCACCATAAACTTCCGACATGCAAACGTGCCAGACCAATCATCACAGATTTGACTCCTTCAATCTGCTGCCTACTTTTTGCGCATTTATTGGATTCGATTATTGGAGCTCCGATTTGACCGCTGCCAATTACTACGAAAGCACATATATCCTCCTTTATTTTGGCAGCTGTCGGTCTCAAGTTCTGCGTTTGTTGATCATTATCATTTGACCTCCAAAAAGTTTTTAATCGAACAACAAGTTTGGGGCCAACAGCTTGGGATTGGGCCACGTTCCAGTACGTGATGGAACTTTGACTCGATTGACGCCATGACTTCTACCCATACCTTTATTTCATCTAAACTAAGACAGTGGCATGCCTCTAATATTATTCCAGCAAGTACATACAGTCCCTGTATCCAAAACAGACCTGCAAACTTCCATCCATTTATAGTGATGGTTTTGTTAAACCCATTCGTCGAGGAACTTTGAATACAACTAATAATTAAATGCGTGAGAAAATACTCGTCTAATATTCGAATTATTTGAGCTTTGGTAGCTTTGGCCTATTTTTTGTATAGGCGGGAAGTTGGCAGAGTTCAAACAGTCAGCCATGGCAACAAGACACTCCCACACAGACAGAGGCCCGTAATGAGCTGCCAATATGTCGTGATAATATCTCCGTAATAAGTAGGAATTCGATTCCTGCGAGTACTAATGCATTTTCCCTGGCGGAACGTTTCTGGGAGGGTTTCCTTGGCGATGAATGAAGGCTTGTATGCTTTCAAGAGTTCGTCTCCTCTTCTGGGGTCTACATTTATGACATTTTTCCATCATCCTCGACAGCGACACCGTCTGCTGGTGTCGGCATGTGGTATGTGGTCCAACGGCAACAAAGATTGCTTAATTAACTAAATTTTGTCAGAAGGACTTGTACCTGCGACTATCGAACGCAGGAAATGTTTATCCTTTTGGCAAAGTTAACGAGGAATCGAAGGGGTTGTGTTAGACTTTTGCATGCAACCTTAAATATGTACCTGGAACCTCTTGGGATCGATTGGCCTCTAGGCAGTTAGTTTTTTAATATCCGATCCTTACATTTTATTGTATTGCATATTCGGCGTGTGCCTCAAAGTGCTCTGAGGGCGCTTCAGCCGCCACCTTGAGAGGGCCAAAGAAAGAGCCCGAGATTTGGGCGCGTGGGTGGCTCTTTGGTGGCACCAACAAGCCCGAAGATATCTGCCCTTTGATGCCTTTTCGGTGTAAGATTTCCCGATGCTTTTGCACTCACTGATTCCAAGTACCCAGGTATGCGGCTTTATCTTCTCAAAGAGTTCTAAGTACGATGGTCGCATCCAAGATGAAATATTTTTAATATACCAATCTACGATTATATGCAACAGGATGCAAAGTAGTCTGATTCTCAACTCCTATGCTTTTCCGTTTTGATAGCTGTCTAAAGAAGCCGACCCCTGATCTATATTTCTAGCATTTAACAGGAAGCAACATTAAAACAAACAAATAAGCCTCGTGAAACACTCCATAATCTCAATTTCCAATCACTCCGAATTCCAATTCCTCTAAATTTTCCACTTCGCTGTTCGCAACTTTTTTATTTTCACGGGTTGTATGTACTAACAATTAAATTGAAGGAAATTACAAAATTAAAATACAATAAATAATGACAATAATAATGAAATTGTAAGAATATTTAAAATTTTGTTACTTGTTTTTTTAACCTATCCACTTCACAACCTACCAGATCAGAGTAATCATTTCACTACCTACCACGTGGGTACCCATTTCACTACCCATTAGATGGGTACCCATATCGTAGACCACTAGAAGTGTATCCATATCACGAGTTCGCGGTAAAGGAAGTGGTGTCCCCATGTTGTAGGATTTGTAGGATATTGTGGGTAAAAATGGATATGATGATAAGTATTAATAAAGGTTTAACCGGGAAGTACTGGCGGTCCGTTTCACCACCCCCGAACTAGTGGACAGTACTCGTACTCTATATAGTACTCCTATCAATCAATTACCTTTGTGTGACGGGAACACTCGTAGCTTGTGGGAACGAATTCGTTTAAGCTTTACAGAGTGTTTATCAGTTGATTTTTCTACCTCACTGAGAAGAAATATAGCACTATCGGATGACAGTGTCGGGAGCCGCCATAGAAACGGTGCATTCGATATTCGAGCAGACAGAATTTGTGTTTTATTTATCCGCAGAACTGGCACTTGAAGCTCGAGACTTGGCTGGCAATTCACTTGTCAGCTGAGCAAGCATTTGAATTCTGATTACTCGTCAAAAACGTATGTGGGGAACGGGAACGGGAGAGAGGGACTGGGAGGGCGTATGAGACTTCGATGAATAATCGCAGAAACGACAACAAACAAGCCACAGGCCCAGCGGACAGCTGGACATTTCGGACCGGACCATGCCGGACCAAATCACCGCACACCAATAATAATACGAGTATAAACATATCGAGGGCCAGCCGACGTTGGTGAGCAGTGCGCCTCAGTCCTCGAACGGATTCATTCGCTAATCTGGAACCAACGACATGAACAGCATCAACTTCGCGGTGGAGTTTGACCACGATGAGAACATACTGGAGCACTGTGGACCGGCGGTGAGTATTGGCATTGACCCAAACAGAAACCGAAACAGAAACAGAAGGTGAAGGCCCAACTATCATTCCAGTCCTATCTATCGGAATGCCTGGCCTCGCTCATCTTGGATGACGAGAGCTCCGAGCGTCTCCGGCAGAAACTTCTGCTCTACAAGGCCGAAGCAGACTTTCTGGAATCGAACTTCGACCCAGCCGACTATTATGTTCAGAAGGAGGAACTGATCTTCAAGATAGTTTGTGAAGTGAAAGGCATTGACTATGATCAGTGTTTGAAGAATGAGCCGTAGGCTTGCCTTGGCCTAGCCTTGGACCCAATGTTTGGACCAATTCAAATAAAACAGAATTCTGAAAACTAAAACGTCTCCTTTTGTTGGTTTTAAGAAGGGGCTGGCCCCCACCACCCACAACAAATGAGGCAACCTCAAAGAGCAGACAAACGACTCCTGGATGATTTTGCATGCGGGCGGCCTTTTGTACGATACAATACCTTGACTAGATATTAATTTAAGCCATGTAATGAGACACAGCACATCACAATCAGGCACACACATGCCCGAAAGTATTTACAAGGCCGTAATGCCTTGCGAGACCCACAATTTGGCAATGGGGGGAATGGGGCTGGGCCTGACTGCTCCGATTATTGCGTTGACAGCCACAACATGCCAGTGCGGAATGATCATTTGCGGAATTCAATAGGCAGGCTCATCAATGCCTGTTGAACATGTCTATTTGTAGATACACTGAGAGAATTAAGAGACCACGTAACATGGCTTTATCGACAAGCAGAGAGAGCCGTTTCCGGTGCCATAAAGTATCAGTATCATCAGTATCGTAACCGAATCTGCCCCTCTCTTGAATATATTTATTATTATAATATTCTGCTTAAATCATGTACTTGTTCTAAGTTTTCCCCTTCACATATTTCGTGTGGTATACAAGCTCATGTGCTCATGCTTATTCCTCATTTGGGGGGGAATGTGAATTTAATTTTTTTCGTTTGAAGTAAATTGAGCTGACAGTCAGCTAAGATAACCTGTCGCAAGATGTCTAGGAAATTGGCAGAGAATTCGCTCCTCTCGAGGGTTAGGGCGAAGGGCATTCCTACACACTCATTCCGCTCTGTCTAACTTCATTAGCGTTTAGTTAAACTTGTCGGAATACCAGGCCATTTAAACTGAACTTCTGGTAGGAGAACTGCGGCTTCATTTAATTAAACCCATACACACCTTCCCTAAGCCCTAAGCAAATAAATTGGAAGACACACACGTAGATCAATGGTGTTCGAAGTAAAGTTGCGCGGAGAACTCCTTCCTACTCCTTCCTAATACCGCACTGGGGATAAGCCGTGTAATTAAGCAAAATTCGCCGTCTACCGGTTGGCGGTTTGGGCGTACGTGCAAGGACCCCGAAGCCCCAACGAATTAATAACGTCACAATGTTGCGTTCGAAAATTTATTGAGATGCCGCTTCTAACTCGGCCCCGCCCTCCGCGCCGCGCCCCGCCCCGCCCCGCTCCGCTCCGTCAGCTGTCACCAGCCGGCGGGTTTCTATTTGGCTGTTACCACTCCATTAGCCATGGCCCGCATTTCAAGCGCCCATTGCGCTTGACGGCTCCCGTCCACAATTTGGGTAATTTATTTACAACAAGGTGTGGGGGAAACATTTAAAGTGTTTAAAGCCCTGCTCAAGAGCGAACTTACATTTGGATACAAAAGAGTCGCTTAGCCTGCGTCCTTCTCTTCGGACTTCGAAAATTATGTTTGTTTAACCAAATGCAAAGGGCTTACAAGTCCTTAGAATACATTCAGGCATTCTTTTGGCTATGACCATAGGCCATAGACCTGTTCAGTAAACGACTTGCCACACAGATCCAAGCTGAAAAGAAGCTGCCTTCCGAGCCAGATGCCTTCACTCTTACGGTGTTTAAAACACCAAAACGTCGATTAGCAGCTACGGCTTTGGGTATTCTCCGAGTCTGGATGTAAAATATTTGAAGGCATAAAACTGTCAAAACTACCATAAAACACTCTGTGACGCAGCTTTTGGCCAGCGCTCAGAACTCTTAGCGAAACATGCCTTTAGCCCAAAAATCAAAACTTTGTAGCACACCTCCCCACTCATTATTTTATTGCCTTGCCCAAGCCAAACACTCGCAGCAAACTAATAGAGAACACGCGCCGACAATTAAACACGTCACCAGAACAGGCCCGAACACTACTGCAGACCACATACACACGGACTCACTGTACTTGAAAAAGGAACAACTAAGGAATACGAGCACCGGGTAAAAGGTGTATCGGTGGCGGTCGCAAGGAAGAGAGTACTGCTTTTGTCACCTTCAGAAAGTAGTACTACTTAAAGTACGGCTAAATAATGAATACGTTTAAGTATTCACTGCAGGGGTCGTTTCTACAGGGTATTCCCAGTTCGTCTTTGCAGTGCACACACTTGGTTTGGGTGTGGGTTTGCTTTTCAAATGTCCCGCCTGGATCACGAACCCAAACAGGAGCACGGAGAGGTAGTGAGAGTGTGGGCTGGCGTACCTTTTGCCAGCTACTAATACCCATAGTCCCGACTGCAGCCTTTGCATGGCTCCGTTTCAAACATGCACCCGAGGGCGACAGGCACTACCCCTGCCTAGTGAAAATAAGAGAACTGGCCAACTGCGGTTGATCACACGTAATTGTTGGGGCTACAGCAACAGTCCCTCGAATCAGCAAACAGGCAACAAAAAAAGCCCTGTTCCTGCCATCTCTCCCTTTTATTTGTGGCTTTCGTGACGAGGTCTACTTAAAATGTCAAATACCAAGTTTTGTGGCGTGGGCTGTAATTTAATTAATTGCGTATTCCGCCGATGTAGGATTAAGGGTGCTCCTTAATTAAAAATCTATGGGCAAAATCTCACGGGTCTTTGGCAGGAGACACAAAGCACCTGTTGACCTTCGCTAAAAGTGCCTTTCAAATAAAATTGCCAAGCGTGACGACAGCTATGAAAATTTCAAGTATATTAAACCCCTATACAGTATATTTTGATTGCTGTTAACACTCAGAAGTCCACCCCTAGCTGGCTGGCTGTATCGGGCCTTGTCATCCCAATCAGTAATATTTATACTTTACACGCTATACCGTCCGTGTTTTGAAAACATCTGGTCGACTACAAGAGCCGCATAAAGAGGCTGGAAATATTTACCCGAAACCCCTTTAACGTCCCTCGTAGTCAAAGAAACGCCTTAGAGAGCTACGAATACTAGTAATAGTAGGTCCAAAATAAAAGTTTGAAGGCATCTCATCGCCTTTTCCACAACGGCTTTTCTTAGAAAAAGAGAGTCTTGACCTTAAATGCCCAGAGCAGGGTTCCTTGTGCGACCAAAAACAAAATCACTCAATAGCAGAATCAGCTTATTGTCTGCCTTGCGATAAAAGTGCAAAAAAAGGGCTGAACGTCCTTCATTATTCATTATAGGCATTCGGCCCATTCCCTTTTCCAAGCATCGACCGCAATAATTTTCCTTGATATACATATACACAGATACACACACACAGTCCACAAAGAAACTGAAGTCATTTATCTTGACAGGGAATTTTTACGGCTGCTCACTTGATCGTTAGACAACGAGAAAGCCAAAACTCCTCGACCACAAACTTTCATCAATCTTTCGATAACTTCGCTTGAGCCGCGGTGCTTGGCGGTGCTTGGCGGTGGGGGGCTGGGGGCGTTGTGGGGCAGGTAAGCACCTTTCAGTTCAGTGTCATGTAAATTTGTTTGCACACTTGCACGTAGCCAATAAAATGCTCAGAAAGTGTAGGGAACGTCTCGAATGGAGCCCAAAGAACAAGTCAAGAGTTCCCCTGAAAGGCATTCCTAAATAAATAAATCATGATGGTTTTTTTTCTTTGGCCGCGAAGTCCTTGAACTGTTTACGCCTGCAACACGCTTGATGGAACTTAATAGACTGTGGTTTTTTTTTTTGTTTGTGTATTATTTTTGCCATGTCCCGACTTTGACATCAATTCCTGGCCAATAAATACTCTTCATGCTTCTCTGTATAGATACTCATACGGCACTCTCTCATCCGCCTTTAAAGCACACATTCCTTGACTTCCTGACTTGTTTTATTTTGAATATAATTCTGCGCCCTGGCATCTAATGTGATACTGGGGCACGCAGCCCCAGCTTGTCGCTCCACTGAACCTAATAAAGTTATTGCTGAATCCCCCTCTTTTCAAGCCATACGTTTTCATTAGCCAGTGCTGGCGAGAGATCCTGAGTCGGCGCAAATTATTTTCAATTATTTAATTGGGTAATGGAAGACCTAATGCAGTGTTCATGAAAATTGCCGTCGGCTGAAGTTATGCCCCTGAACTCGCTTCATTGAACTAATAGAGCAGATGGCCAACATACAAATTATCTATTTAGAATTTTAGCATCGAAAATATTTATTTCCAGCTTAAATATTAAGGAAAGAAGTCTTTAAAAGTACCACTAACCATACACCGAACTTGTCGCAAACGAACTATCTGGACTTCATACATAGATGTCAGGGTATTCGCATCTGGCTCATGGCTCAAGGCTGGGCCGAAAACCCTGGGAACCCCGTTGAAAGTTAATTGAAAACCGATGATCCCAGCTCCCAATAGAGATTACAAATTGGTTATTCCCTTTTTAAGTGTCCTGCGCCGCTCTGGTGATCCCACCCGCAGAATTGTTGGCTCAGACAAAGTCCTATCCATGCATTACCGAGACAGACAGAGTCCTATCCCAGCAGGACAGAAGCGCACCCCTTGACAGATCCATCGTATCCCCCGACCTGCCTATCGATTTGGTTATTTATTTATACTAAGCTAAGTTTTGATGAATAAAACTATTGAAAAATCATCCTTGCAAAAAATCGGGGAAATATGATTGGGTGGGGTTTGTAACGAACCAGGCTGGATGTTGGGGAGTGGGAGAAGGGCGCACGCGGTTATTCCCGGCTGGGATGCTCGTCGGCTAATTGGGGTGGTGATCTTGCCCTCCTCTCACCTGATGCCTATCTTCATTATTAACAAGTTAAAATTTATGCGTGCTACGACGAGAGTTAAGGTGGACCTAAAATTGCTTGCACACATAATTGGCCCTTTCTCCGATCTGTCCCCGAACGCTTTTCCCCGCCTCAGATCTCGTTGAGGGCGGATTGACCCTCCCTACCTTGGCCATTCCTAGGTCACAATCTATATGGAATGACCCCTTTGCGTCGTTATGGGATCTTCAGGGGCATTTGGCTAGCCGAAGGCAAAAAAAAACTGTGAACTAAAACATTATAAAATTTATTGAATTATGACTAAAAACTGAGCGATTCCTAAATTAACACTAAACAT